GGAGAATGAAAATTTGTAAACTGGCAATGAAGGCAGTTCAAGACACTTTGTCTTGAAACTGCAGCTAGGTGGCTGAGTCATGATCGTGTGGTCCTGCTGAGGAGGCCCAGGTTTCCTTTGAGGAAAGTGGAGCAAGATGTCCCCCTGGCCGGTCTTGAGGGGCACATGTGACTGGAAACCTTCTCAAAGGGATTTCACAAGCTAGGTTTTCCTTGAGGATGGGGGGTTTGGGACTTGTCCCTGTAGCATCCTCAGTACCCAACAGAGGGGCAGTTCCAGAATGCTGGAAGTTGAAAGGCAGGTCTCTGCCCTGAGGAGCTTGCTAAGTTATGTCAGTGGAGGAGAAGATTTTATTTTATTTTTATTTTATTTCACTTATACCCCGCCCTCCCCGCAAGCGGGCTCAGGGCGACTTACATAGGCACAACTGTGCAATAAAAATACAACAGGATTAAAACAGTTAAGGCACCAAGTGCAATAAAAATAGAACAAGTTAAAACAATTAAAACAAAAACCCACATCTTGCAGGATATATTAGGAACTAAAATACTCACTCCCTATTGTATATCGCAGTGGGATCAAGAGGGGGGATGCCATGGGCCAAGATGTTCCAGATGGCTAGTCGGCCCAACCCGGTGGTCCTGCTCTGCAGTTACTCGGTGGTGGTGTCGGCGGTGGCTCCTACTCAAAAGCCTGGCAGAAGAGCTCCGTGGAGGGGTGGGAAAGACTTCGGCTTTGGCTTTATTTGGAGGGTGGGTAAAGTTGGAGAGACTTCATGGATGAGGTCAGCCTAAGGCTACCAACATCCAGGTGGGCCCAGATGATATTCTGGAATTGCTTCCCTGGAGAAAATGGCTGCTTTGGAGGGGGGACTGTATGGCATTGTATTCACAGATGTCCCTGCCCTCCTGATGATTCACCTTCAAATCTCCAGGAATTTCCCAACTCTTAGGTAGGCCTTGGCTTGGGGCCGTGGCTCTGTAGAGTCTCTGCTTGGCATGCAGGAAGTCCCAGGTTCAATCCCCGGCATCCCCAGTTGTAAGGACCAGGCAGTAGGTGATGTGAAAGACCTCCGCCTGAGACCCTGAGACCTTGAGTGGACAAGAAATCCATAAACATAAACACAATTTCAACAGGAAAGAAGAGAGTTTAAGGATAAACAGGGCATGGTTTCCTGTCCTGAAAAACACAAAAGGCTCCACATCTGACAGTAGTACTACAGATAAGATTAGAATTTCAACAGCCAATCCACATACAAAAGAACCTCCTCAGGAAACAGGAGACCTCCTCAGGAAACAATCCATATACAAAAGAACCTCCTCAGGAAATCTCCTCCATTAGCATGTTCACAGCCTGGGGAACTTCTACCCCACCATCCTGTAAAAAAAAGGTAAAGGTTTCCCTTGCTCGAAAGCCAGTCGAATCCGACTTTAGGTTTGCGGTGCTCATCTCCGTTTCCAAGCCGAAGAGCCAGCGCTGTCCGAAGACGTTTCCGTGGTCATGTGGCCGGCTTGACTAAACACCAAGGCGCACAGAACACTGTTACCTTCCCACCGAAGTGGTACCTATTTATCTACTTGCAATTTCTTGCTTTCGAACTGCTAGGTTGGCAGGAGCTGGAACTAGAGACGGGAGCTCACTCCGTCATGCGGCACCCCTGGGTCTCGAACTGCTGAACTACTGACCTTCCACAGCCTGCAGTTCAGTGTCTTAACCACTTGAGCCACCGCAGCTGAAGTATTTTGTGAAGTTTGATCTATTGCATTTCTGGGATAGGGGCTTACTTCACCGTGCATACCATTTTAGCAGTTAGCACGTCGGACTATGGCCTGGGAGACCCGGGTTCGAATCTTCACTCTGCCATGGAATATTGCTGGGCAGGCCAACTTCTCTCTCTCTCTCTGCCTCACATACCTCACAGGGATTTGTAAGGATATTATGGAGGAAGGGGGAAAAATGCCATTTGAAAGTTTACCTCAGTGATCCCGCACCTCCGCTCTTTTAACAGTGTTCTCCTTGAGTCAGCCGTGTCTGTTCGTTGGGGGGAGGGAATAATTTGTATGCCATTGGGGCCAGCGTGGTGGCAGCTGTATTAATAGCACGGGGGGGGGGGGGCAATTGCATGTTATGCAAAGTTCTCAACCTCTGGTTTTGCAATGTTCCCTCTAAGCTGTGGAGTCTTGTGAGCAGAAATTCTACTTTGTGAGCCATTGGCATTAAAGTTGTGAGCAAGATATTTGGCGACTGCATAAATCAGTTTGCTCTGGAGCCATCCCTTCCTGATGACAAAAATCTGTAAGCCGGAGGCTAAAGAACTGTGAGCTAGCTCACACTAACTCAGCTTAGAGGGAACACTGCTTGTAAGCTAAATTTGGGGGTGGGAGGAAAGTTGTAGGGACAGGCGGGCGGTAGAAGGAGGCGGTCTTTCTCCCTTCACAGATGTCCCCCTCCCAGAAGAGGGGCTAGTAGTGGGGGTGCGGGGCGCCCTGAAGAAGCACGCGAGGGACAGAATTGATAGGTATGAAAGGAGTTCTAACCTGGGATAACCGGGTCTGATTCCCCACTCCTCCTCCACATGCAGCTGCTGGTGTGACTTTGGGTCAGTCACAAGTTCTCTTGGAGCTATTCTCTCAAGGGCAGTCCTCGAAAGAGCTCTCTCAGCCCCACGTGCCTCATAGGGTGTCTGTTGTGGGGAGGGGAAGGGAAAGGAGATTGTTGTCAGCTACGCTGCCATGAAGGTTGGGGAGCTCGGTCTGTGTCTGGTTAATTGCTACTGCATTCCTTTCTGTGCTTTTCCTGCTTTGCGCCGAAATGCTTATCTATACAGATGTGCAGGAGGGAGTTGTATTGTCTGGGTTTTTCCTAGGTGCCGTGGGAGAGTGTTGGTTCTCAACTTTAGCTACCTAACGGTCTCCAAGCTTTATCCCGTGTGCGGGAGGGTGCCTAATTGGCCTGTGCTCTGGGAGGGGTGCATACGAATACCCTATATCCTATTATGCCTATGGGGCCGCCGCCATTCTTAACAGTGCTTATGTTACTGCATCTATAGCTCTGCAATAAAAGTATTACCATTCTTGAATGCGTGTACATCGTTGTTGGCTGTGGGTTCTGACAATTGTAAGTTGCTCTGAGACTCCTTCAGGTATTGAAGGGCGGGGTATAAATCCAATCTCCTCCTCCTCCTCTTCTTCTTCCTCTTCCTCCTCCTCTCCTTGCCTTCCTTCTGATTTTCCTGAGATATAGCCCCTAACAACATAGTCTAATGGTTAAAGAGTTGGATTAGGATACCCAGGTTTTACCCACCCCTGTTCTGCCGTGGAAGCTCACTGGGTAGTCTTGGGCCAGTCACTCCCTCTCAGCCTAACCTACCTCACAGGGTTGTTGTGACAGGGAAATGGAGGAGACGAAAACGAGGTAAGCCACTTTGAGTCCCTGTTTGGCGTAGTGGTTAAGAGCCAGTTTGGCGTAGTGGTTAAATGCGCGGACTCTAATCTGGGAGAACCGGGTTTGATTCCCCCACTCCTCCACTTGCACCTGGCTGGATGACCTTGGGCAAGCCCTAGTTCTGGTCAGAGATGTTCTCTCAGGGACAGCTCTGCAAAAAGCTCTCTCAGCCCCGTCTACCTCACAGGGTGTCTGTTGTGGGGAGGGGAAGGGAAAGGGGTTTGTAAGCCGCTCTGAGACTCCGAGTGAAGGGCAGGGTATAAATCCAATCTCTTCTTCTTCTTTTTCTGTTGGGGGTATGAACGAAGAAAACACATTAACTTCCTCATTGGCATTACCTGAGCCAACACAGGTTTGTAAACCTGTCAGCTAACACGTAGTTTTCCCTCTAAATTGTCTGTAACTTCCAGTGGAGCACCGGATCAGGTTCAAAGTTTTGGTTTTGACCTTGTTGGCCCTCAGCGGTCAGGGACCTACGTACCTTCGGGACCGCCTCTCTCAGTGTGACCCTAAAAGAGCATTGCGCTCAGGGAATAAGAATGTGTGTAGGGCTCTCTTCCAGCTACGCTCCTGCAGAGTGCAGGGGGTTGGACTAGATGACCTGCAAGGTCCCTTCCAGCTCTAACATTCTATGATTCTATTCTATGAACCTCCTGAGGGAGGTCCAGCTGTTCTCAAACAGCGCCAGGGCTTTTTCGGTGGAGCTCTCTGCAGGAAGACATCTGTGCCCTGTGGGATTTATTACTTTTCCAAGGGCCTGTAAGGCAAAGATGTTCCGCCAGGCCTTCAGTTGAGGACAGCGAGGGGGACAGTATAGCATCCTGCACTCTCATATTTTCTCCCCATCCCCTGCAAAAAAACCCCCACCCCTGAGTCTAGGGAGCTGAATTTTTGTTTTCTTTCGCCATCCTGTAATGTATGTTGTTTATTCTGTGTTTAGGGAGGCCTTGGTTTTAACTTAAATCATTTAAGCCAGTTTGGTGTGGTGGTTAAGTGCGCGGACTCTAATCTGGGAGAACCGGGTTTGATTCCCCACGCCTCCTCTTGCAGCTGCTGGTGTGACTTTGGGTCAGTCACAAGTTCTCTCAGAGCTGTTCTTGAAGAAGAGCAGTTTCTGTCAGAGCTCTCTCAGCCCCACCCACCTCACAGGCAGGGTTCCCTCTAAGCTGAGTTAGTGTGACCTTGGGCAAGCCGTAGTTCTGATAAGAGCTGTGCTTGAAAGGGCAGTTCTCAAAAGAGCTCTCTCAGCCCCACCTACCTCACAGGGTGTCTGTTGTGGGGAGGGGAAGGGAAAGGAGTTTGTAAGCCGCTCTGAGACTCCTTTGGGTAGTGAAGGGCGGGGTATAAATCCAATCTCCTCCTCCTACTACTTTTTCCTTCTCCTCCTCCTACTTCTTCCTTTTTCCTTCTTTCTTCTTTCTTCTCCTTCTGTATGCTACCTTCTTGTAAGCTACTTGTAGGGAAGGGCAGCCTAGGAAATCCAGTTTCATAAATGAATAATAAATAAAGTCACCATCACCTTGACCCTAAACTTCTGTCCTCGGTCTCAAAAACAGGCGGCTTTTCAGAGAAGAACTATGAGTGGAGCTCGGAGGAGGAAGAGGTGGAGAAGAAGGCCCGGCCCGTGCAAGTTCTCATCGTGAAAGACGACCACTCCTTCGAGCTGGACGAAGCCGCCCTCAACCGCATTTTGCTCTCCGAAACCGTCCGCGACCGGGAGGTGGTTGCCGTCTCCGTGGCGGGGGCTTTCCGGAAAGGGAAGTCGTTCCTCATGGACTTCATGCTGAGATACATGTACAGCCTGGTACGTTCGGTTGCACTGGGGACGGTACCCGAAACCGGCGTGCGCGGTGTCGCTCGCTGTTTCTTCTGCCTCGGAGCCGCTGGGTGCATTTGGCAGCCCTTGCTGATTCCGAGGATGTGCCTCTCCCGCGGCTGGCAGCATGCCAAGGTTTTTGGCAAGGATTTGGTGGTGCCCTTATCTGAATGGGGATGTCAGAGAAGCCTTGGCTTGGGGTCATACCTCCTGAAAGATATTGTTGCCCCCATTGGACATGAGGTTGGTTTGTGCAACTGGTCTATGGTTTACGACTCTCCCCAGGTCTAGCAGACTGTCACCAGGTTTCTGAACAGGATGCATTTTATATTTCTGGAGACCTAGGTTAGAGAGCTTCACATCCGTCTAATATGGATGATACCCTGGCGTGGATTCGGGATGGGAGAACCCGGTTTGATTCCCCACTCCTCCACATGCAGCTGCTGGTGTGACCTTGGCTCAGTCACAAGTTCTCTCAGAGCTGTTCTCTCAAGAGCAGTTCTCAGTCAGAGCTCTCTCGGCCCCACCTACCTCACAGGGTCTCTGTTGTGGGGAGGGGAAAGGGAAAGGAGATTGTAAACTGCTCTGAGACTCCATGTGTAGGGCGGGGTATAAATCCAATCTCTTCTTCTGAAGAGGTTAGGGCTCTTTAGCTTGGAGAAACAACAACTGAGGGGTGACATGATTGAGGTTTATAAGATAGAGAAGGCTGAGAAAGAGGCACTTTTCTCGCTTTCTCACAGTACAAGAACTTGTGGGCACTTGAGGAATTTAAGGAGTAGTCAGCCTAGAACAGATCAAAGGAAGTCCTTCTTCATCGAAAGAGTCATTAACACGTGGAACTCACTGCTGCAGGAAGTGGTGGCAACTACAAGCATAGACAGCTTCAAGAGGGGATTGGAGAAACATCTGGAGCAGAGTCCCTGAGTGGCTATTAGCCACAAGGTATAGGTGGAACACTCTGTCTGGGGCAAGTGATACTCTGTCTTCTTGGTGCTTGGGGGGCAATAGCGGGAGGGCTTCTGGAGTTCTGGCCCTACTGGTGGACCTCCTGATGGCCCCTGGGTTTTGGCCACTGTGTGACACAGAGTGTGGGTCTGGATGGGCCGTTGGCCTGATCCAAGATGGCTTCTCTTACGTTTTATGTCTGGGGCAAGGGATGCGCTGTCTTCTTGGTGCTTAGGGGGCAACAGTGGGAGGGCTTCTGGAGTTCTGGCCCTGCTGGTGGACGACCTGATGGCCCCTGGGATGACACAGAGTGTGGGTCTGGATGGGCCATTGACTTGATCCAACATGACTTCTCTTAGGTTCTTACGTTCCCATCTCTGTCTTGTCAGATTTTAGGTTCCGTTTGTTACTTATAGCATTGGAAACAGGGCAGAGAAGGGCAACTAGAATGATCAAAGGGTTGGAGCACTTTCCCTGTGAAGAAAGGCTAAAGCGCTCGGGGCTCTTTAGCTTGGAGAAACGACGGCTGAGGGGTGACACGATCGAGGTTTACAAGATTATGCTTGGGACAGAGCAGGTCGAGAAAGAAGGATGTTTCTCCCTTTCTCACAATACAAGTACTCGGGGGCACTCCCTGAAATTGCTGAGCAGTCGGGTTAGACCCAAGCAAGGCTATGAACGAGAGGACCTTTTGGAGGTCATTGATTCAGAGGGTTGCCATAAGTCAGGAGCAACTGCATGACACGTCTCTCACACACACACACAAACAAACACAGGGGCTTTACACAAAGGGATGATACAGCTTCTGCAAAGGGAAGTCCTGCCTCACCAGTCTTTGGGAGTTCTTTGAGAAGGTCAACAAGCCTATGAGTAAGGGTAACCTGGTATATGTCATGTATTTGGACTTCAAAGAAGGTTTTGACAAGTTCTGTCACCAAAGACTGAGTCCTGACTAAGTTTAGCAGTTATCGGTTAAGGGAAAGGTTGCCACCACCACCCCCGATAGAGGCAGGGTTTTTTGTGCTTTTAAGACCCCCAATCCACTGCCGGACAACTGGCCGGTAGCGGGAGCTCCATCCTCAAAGAGCCACGTTGCACCTGACGTGCCCGATGCGATGATGTCATCCGGAGGTGATGTCATTGTGTCGGGCGTGTCGTGCAGGAGGACACTCTAGCATCTGGGTAAAAACTCTATGGTCACCATAGAGGTTTTTTTACCCAAATACTAGAGGATCCCCTGAATGATGTGCCTGGAACGATGACATCACTTCTGGGTGAGGTCATTGCGGTGTGCACGCCAGAAGACCCCAGGAGCCGGGCTGGAGCCCCCCGCTGGGACACAGGTAAAACCTAGTAACCCTAGTTAAGGGGGAAAGACATCTTGGGGTTGTAGCAGATAGCTTAATTGTGAAATTAGTGTGCAGCCGGTGAAAAAGGCAAACGCCATGCTAGGCTAAGGCAAAAATGTGTGAGCCAGAGGCTAAAAAACTGTGAGCCAGCTCACACTGACTCAACTTAGAGGGAACACTGCTCCCACCCCTACACATCCCATTTCTCCCCCCCCCCATTGAGAAAAGTGCAGAAAAGGGCAACTAGAATGATCAAAGGGTTGGAACACTTTCCCTGTGAGGAAAGGTTAAAGCACTTGGGGCTCTTTAACTTGGAGAAACGACGACTGAGGGGTGACATGATCGAGGTTTATAAGATTATGAGTGGGATAGAGCAGGCAGAGAAAGAAGTCCTTTTCTCCCTTTCTCACAATACAAGAACTCGTGGGCACTCAGTGAAATTGTTGAGCAGTCGAGTTAGAACAGAGAAAAGGAAGTACTTCGTCACCCAAAGAGTGAATAACCCATGGGATTCACTGCCACAGGAGGTGGTGGCGGCTACAAGCATGGGCGGCTTCAAGAGGGAATTGGATAAACATACGGAGCAGAGGTCCATCAGTGGCTATGAGCCACAAGATATAGATAGGAACTCTCAAGCTGGGGCCAGGGATGCTCTGTCTTCTTGGTGCTTGGGGGGGGGGCAACAGTGGGAGGGGCTTCTAGTGTCCTGGCCCCACTGCTGGACCTCCTGAGGGCACCTGGTGTTTTTGGCCACTGTGTGAAACAGAGTGTTGGACTGGATGGGCCATTGGCCTGATCCAACATTGGCTTCTCTTACGTTCTTATGCTGAGAGCAGAGGTCCATCGGTGGCTATGAGCCACAAGGTACAGATAGGAACTCTTGGTCTGGGACAAGGGAAGCTCTGTATTCTTGGTGCTTGGGGGGGGGGGCAACAGTGGGAGGGCTCCTAGTGTCCTGGCCCCACTGCTGGACCTCCTGAGGGCACCTGGTATTTCTGGCCACTGTGTGACACAGAGTGTTGGACTGGATGGGCCACTGGCCTGACCCAACACTGGCTTCTCTTACGTTCTTATGTCTGGGGCCAGGGATGCTCTGTCTTCTTGGTGCTTGGGGGGGAGCAACCATGGGAGGGCTTCTGGAGTCCTCCTGGCCCCACTGCGGGACCTCCTGATGGCCCCTGGTATCTTTTGGCCACTGTGTGACACAGAGTGTTGGCCTGGATGGGCCATTGGCCTGATCCAACATGGGCTTCTCTTAGGTTCTCATGTTGTTATGTGCCCAAGGGCAGCCTGCTTCCTGATGGACCACTCATGGTATGTGGCTGTTGGGTTAGCCTGGTTTTAGTTTATGCAAACGGCAGTAACACGCCCTCTCTCCGCCATGCAGGAACTGGTCGACTGGGTCGGGGATTACAACGAGCCGCTGACGGGATTTTCCTGGAGAGGAGGGTCAGAGCGGGAGACGACGGGCATCCAGATCTGGAGCGAGATCTTCCTTGTGGACAAGCCGGATGGGAACAAGGTAGGCGGTTCCTCGTCGCCGTTCGCTGCTCCCATTGGTTCCTTTGGTCTGGTGTTGTGCTTTACCTGATTGGTGCTAGGACTGTAGGTGTACCTCGTGGTCGAACTGGGCAGAAACGAGGCAGATGGATCACAGACAGACATTTAAATAAACATTTTCCCACCTAAACAGGAGTTCTTAAGTCCATATCTGGCAAAAATTGTTTAATTTACATAGTCCGTTGTGTACGTGGGCTTTGGAGGTTGGGGGAGGGCGTGTATGGGAGGCCTTCAGCTCAGACTTTGAACAAAGGAGGGAAACAAACTTGACCCTGTAAACTAGGATCAAGAACCTGAAAAGGGAAGTCAAACTGAGGAGAGGGCCAACAATTAAAACTTAATGTATAAATTAAACCAGTTTGGTGTCGTGGCTAAGTGCGTGGACTCTAATCTGGGAGAACCAGGTTTGATTCCCCACTCCTCCACTTGCAGCTGCTGTATGACCTTGAGCAAGCCATAGTTCTGACAAGAGCTGTGAGCCATTTCTGTCAGAGCTCTCTCAGCCTCACTTACCTCACAGGGTGCCTGTTGTGGGGAGGGGAAGGGAAAGGAGTTTGTAAGGCGCTCTGAGACTCCTTTGGGTAGTGAAGGGTGGGGTGTAAATCCAATCTCTTCTTTTTCTTCTTCGAATATGTAAAAATACACATATTTATTTGTAAAGGATTAAAAAACATATAGGGGCCCAATCACACCGCATGTAAAAACTCCAAAATCATATATACACAAGGTCCAATGGACTTGACCTGACACATTTCGGCCTGTTAGGGTTTTCTTGAGAGGTCAAATGCAACGAGGAACAAATTGGCTTATAGCGCAGTATATAACGCAATACAATTATGCAGCATAGATACAAACTGGACCAGAAAGGAATTGTTCCAGTACTAGGCATAGGATGAAAATATAAATGAGGTCTCCCAAGATCCAATCATATGATATTTCACTGGTATTAATTTCTGGTCCAGAAGATGCCTTTCAATGGCTGTTCAATCCAAGCCTTTAAGGGACGGTCTTGTTGAGGACATCTTGGCTTGAATTGAACAGCTATTGAAAGGCACCTTCCAGAGTAGAAATTAATATCTGTGAAATATCATTTGGCATATGATTGGATCTTGGGAGGCCTCATTTCTACTTTCATTCTATGCCTAGTAATTCCACTCTGGAACAATTCCTTTCCTGTCCATTTTGTATCCATGCTATACATGGATATTGTATTACGCATTGTGGTGCAAGCCAATTTGTTCCTCATTGTGTTTAACCTCTGAAGAAGGCCCGAACAGGCCGAAACGCGTCAGGTCAAGTCCATTGGCCCTTGTGTATATATGATTTTGGAATTTTTACCTGAGGTGCAATTGGGCCCCTATATGGTTTTTTTAAACAATTTTTTTATTTTCATGACAAACAAACATAAAATTGGGGTACAACATTTCAATTTTTCTTTTCCTCTATTAAACTACCTCATACGTTAACTAAATCTTTATCATTTTTCCACCTACTGTTATCATATAATATTTGCAAATATATAGGTATACAGTTTCTTTTATTCTACTAATATAGATTTTGTCTAAACATATTGTTAAATTCTTCTTTGGATATATAAAAAGGCATAATTTTTTATTTTCTTCTGGATATTAATGTAATGGTCTTACTCCATTATCAGTCTCAGAAATTCCCTCAGAAACTTTCCATCCCTTTGGTAGTTTTCCTCTTCTTCTTGGTTTTCTGATTTCTCCTCTTAAGTTTTAAAGTCTTAATTCTGTGTCTTTTCCCCTTATAAGTGTAGAAATCTTCTGAGTATAAACATCTGTACTCAATGTTTAGAATAGTTTGTGGATCCAAGTGTTGATTTCTTTTGTCTCTCTGAGGTGACAGGTGACTCCTTATTTTGGCAATTTCATCAATGATGGTTGTTTTATAAGGTCTCTGATACACATTTGTGGAAGTTTTGGTTGTCTTTATAGGCACAGACTCTATTCTGTGGTTCATGTCATCTTTTTTTTTTAACAATTTTTTTTTAGGATATCATCACTCAAAATCAACATTTATAATACATTTTTATCCTACCCTCCCCCCCCCCCTGCAATGCTTCCCACAGTGCTACAACCTCCTGCAAAATTCTTAAATTCCTTCTTCCTTCCCTTTATCATTAACTAATCTCTTCATATATAAATTTCTCCATTTCTTATTCCATATTGTTAAACTTTAATGGATCATGTCATCTTGATTGTAGGTTTCCTCCATATCCTCTACACATTCATGTCTTTTTTCCCTTCTCTTTTGGGCCCCTATATGTTTTTTTAATCCTTTACAAATGAATACATGTATTTGTACATATTATTTATACATTAAGTTTTAACTGTTGGCCCTCTGCTCAGTTTGACTTACCTTCGCAAGTCTTCAGCCCAGCCGGTGCTTTGGTTTCTTTCTGTCGTCCGTGCACAGGAACGGGGCTGCCTCTTTGCACCCGAGTGTCAGTCCCCAAACTGCTCCACCTGTTCTTTTATGCAGGTCGCCGTCCTGCTAATGGACACTCAGGGAACCTTCGACAGCCAGTCGACCCTGCGGGATTCGGCCACCGTCTTCGCTCTCAGCACAATGATTAGCTCCATCCAGGTAATGAACAGGGGCCGTCGCGCCTGTGTGTTTGGGGAGGCCAGCGGTGGGAGCAAGCAATTATCGAACCTCTGGAGGATGGGTGGAAACAGCTGGCATCGCCTGGGTCGCTGGCGTAACTGAGGTCGCTTCCATGCCAGCTCTTGGCTCCAGCTGCCGCACCAACCCCTGCACCAGTCCCTCCTGGCTCCCTGAATGCCTGGGGCCTTGATTCCCCAGAGCAAGGTTAGCTCAGCAGATGGTGTCGCATAGCATGATCCCCTCTGCCCCCACAGGTGGCCTGACTGAGGCCACATCGGCGCATAGACACACGTGATGTGGGAGAGGTGGGGTTCCTCTCCCACCCTTCAGTTTTCCCTCCTCGTAAGATGAAGTTAGTCACGAGCACAAAGGCCAGAAAGACAGTATAACGCATCAATTTTTAAACCAATTATTTTGTTTCTTAAAAGCCATAGAATTTTTTTTTTAAGTTCATCAGACTTGTCATGTGTGCCCATCTGTTTCCAAGAACATGAGACGAGCCCTGCTGGATCAGACCAGGGGTCCATCTAGTCCAGTGTCTTGTCCCATACAGTGGCCAACCAGTTCCTCTGGAGGGCCAACAATAGGGCATAGAGGCCGAGGCTTTCCTAAGAACACCAGGAGAGCCCTGCTGGATTAGACCAGTGAGGGTCCATCTAGTCCAGCATCCCGTCTCACACAGTGGCCAACCAGTTCATCAGGAGGGCCAAGAACAGGGCATAGAGGCTGAGGCCTTCCTCTGATAAGAACATCAGAAGAGCCCTGCTGGATCAGACCAGTGAGAGTCCATCCAGTCCAGCATCCTGTCTCACACAGAGGCCAACTAGTTCTTCTGGAGGGCCAACAACAGGGCAGAGAGGCTGAGGCCTTCATAAGAACATCAGAAGAGCCCTGCTGGATCAGACCAGTGAGGGTCCATCTAGTCCAGCATCCTGCCTCACACAGTGGCCAACCAGTTCTTCCAGAGGGCCAACCACAGGGCACAGAGGCCGAGACCTTCTCCTGAGAAGAACATCCAAAGAGCCCTGCTGGATCAGACCCATGATCCATCTACTCCAGCATCCTGTCTCACACAGTGGCCAATCAGTTCATCTGGAGGGCTAACCACAGGGCATAGATGCCGAGGCCTTCCCCTGATGTTGCCTCCTGGTGCTTGTATTTCAGAAGTTTACTGCCACAATAGTCACTTCAGCATAAATGCACTGATTTGTGTATAAATATGTTTTCTTGCTCTTGTTTTTGAACTCAGGTGTACAACTTGTCACAGAATGTACAGGAAGATGATCTCCAGCATCTGCAGGTGAGGCTTCTCCCTTCGTGTTGCCACTTGGCTTTGCGTGAGTGCCACATGGCCAGAAGGGAAGGGGCCGTGGCTCAGTGGCAGAGCCTCTGCTTGGCATGCAGAAGGTACCCAGGTTCAATCCCCGGCATCTCCACTTGAAATGACCAGGCAGGAGGTGATGAGAAAAACCTCAGCCTGAGACCCTGGAGAGCTGTAAAGAGGGGCTGTGGCTCAGTGGAAGAGCCTCTGCTTGGCGTGCAGAAGGTCCCAGGTTCAATCCCCGGCATCTCCAGTTAAAAGGGACCAGGCAGGAGGTGATGTGAAAGACCTCCGCCTGAGACCCTGGAGAGCTGTAAAGAGGGGCTGTGGCTCAGTGGAAGAGCCTCTGCTTGGCGTGCAGAAGGTCCCAGGTTCAATCCCCGGCATCTCCAGTCATAATGACCAGGCAGTAGGTGATATCAACAACCTCCGCCTGAGACCCTGTAGAGCCTCTGCTGGTCTGTGTAGACAAGACTGACCTTGAGGGACCAAAGGTCTGATTCAGCATAAGGAACACAGGAAAAGCCCGGCGTGTGGACATGGGTTCCGCTCTTTGAGATTCTTTAAAAGGAAATGGGCTGCATAAGTGTTGTCGCCAACACCTGAGGAAGCTGCAGGGATGAATGATGTTTCTTTAGGAAATGTATATATGCCACCTCTCCAGGGACATGCTTATTTATTCAAAATAACTTTCTAAGCCCTATACGGCCAAGGACCTGCATATCTCAGGGACTGACTGTCTCCATATGTGCCCCGTAGAGCCTTGCGCTCAATAGGCCAACACCTTCTGTTCAGGGGCGGATTCAGGCTCACTGGTGCCCGAAGCACTGACCAATCTTGGTGCCCCCCTACTTTCCATACTGACCCAGTCCATTCTAGTTGTTGCCCTGTCTGACCAGATCTACAATGCAGGTTGCAGCAGTACAAAAATTTATTCATAGGATAACTCAATAGACTGTGCAAACTAAGCTTTTCACCCTTTTTCCCAACTTTGTGGTGCCCCCTTTGGCCCTGGTGCCCTAAGCATGTGCCTAGTCTGCTTCATGGTGAACCTGCCCCTGCTTCTGGTTGTCTCTGGCCCGAAGGCCATCTGAGTAGCCTCAGCTACCCAGTGGAACAAGCCTGGTGGAACAAGCGACCAACTGAGACCAGGGCCCTGCAGGATCTATTGCAATTCTGCTGGGCCTGTAAGACGGAGCTCTTCCGCCAGGCTTTTAGTTGAAGCGGTGGGCGTCCACATCTTTCCATCTTTGGCCTCCCGATGTCACCGGCAGCACGCAGAAAGAGTACGTCATAGCATCGTTACCAAGGCAATGCCTTATGCTGTTTGTTTTTTTAAAAATTATTATTCTTTAACTTTTAAATGTCTGACTTTATAATTTATGATATTTTACTGTTTTATTGTCATGTCCCATGTGACCTGTAACCCGCCCTGAGCCCGCTTGTGGGGAGGGGGGATATAAATTGAAAACAACAACCACAACAACAACAACAACAGCAGCAGCAGCAGCAGCAGCCACCACCACCACCACCACCTCCTCCTCCTCCTCCTCCTCCTCCTCC